ATCGATTAAGAACTCGTTGTATCAATTTATCTGAAGTGTTCTTCATTTCTTATGGCCCGAGCTGAAGTCTTGTGGTATCGTTTAAGCTTTGGCTCTTGGAGCTGCAAGTTGGTTTAGTTTTGATGTACTCCTCGAATACTGAGGCTTCCTTATTCTCTTTTAACTTTTAAAGTTCGTTACAGCAATACATTCATGTAGTTTTTAACAATCCTCTATTTATACGATTCGGCTCATTCTGGCAAACACACTGTGTTTATATGCATATCCCAGGATGTATCAAGCCTATTTTAATATAGACTGCTTACCAAACAGTACTCACCTAACTGAGTCCTAAGTCATAAGCTGTAGCCCCTGGGTTCCGTCTCATTAAATATTGATCGTCTAATTATATCAGTGACTCTAGTCACCTTTCTTAATTTTCTCACCTGCTTTTCAAGCTATGTATGGAAGTAGGTCCGCGTGTTTTCTACCCTTACAATAAAAAAGAATCTCTTCACCTCGTTGTACTCATCTGCGTATCTCGCTTCTATGTATGTCTTCCCGTTATGACTAATGCTCATACTGAATTTTCTATATTCATTAATACCTTTAGTACTTTGGGAATTAGGGAGTGCAAAGGGGGATATGAAGGATTGAGCATTTTGAAGGAATATAAGAGTATGGCAGTTCGGAGGCAGTTTGTAGTGGGTAAGGATGGAGCTGAGAGGTGGTGGGGAGAATAGGATGTATAGGTATCTTGGGAGTTGTGAATGGTTGAAGCAGGGTTTGTGATATGTGGGAGATTGTGAGTAGAGAATCCTGTTTAAGTCAGTATGAATACCAAACCAGGAGGAAACTTTTCTCCCTGAAGTGACTGGTATTGTGAGGACAAGTCTATCGGCCAGCTGGGTCTCTCTCACCACTGTTGCCAGTATAGAGGATTTTCTTGCATGGCGGGTTTTCTACTGCTCTTAGCGCCAAGTTTACTTGCTTTCAAGGCCAACGAGGAAGGCGGCAATGGTCTGTATTGTGAAGAACATTTGTTCATTCAGTTTTGTGTAATGTATCTAGTTCTGAAGCCAAGGCACTGAATCTTGGAGTCACTAAAATTATCTTCTCAAGACACTTAATTCCTATCTACGTTGAAGCCTGTATCACTCTTCATCCCCCCCCACCTCCCGTCCCTCCTTTCTTCTTCTACCTTCGCTTCCTCCACACCCCTCCCCCATCCATCCCCCCCTCCTCCTCCTCCCACTGGGGTCCTCTCCTACACCAGTGTTGGTGGCTTTAAGTGGCTCCTTCATGACCTACCGACGACCCTGTCTTGACCTCTCGTCCCGAGTGTGGTGGCTCCCCGTGACCAGGGGTGCAGGAGGCGGGGATTATTTATGCTCATTATGTATCCGCGATGAATGATGCTTTGTATTTTGAGCAGGAGAAAGAGGAAGGGGCGAAGAATGGTCATCTGTTCTCTGAGAGTTTCGCAAATTACAGACAAAAATGAGATGAAGTCTATTATCGGAGATGAAATGCCTCCGTGTTAAAGCGGATGTTCAGCGTGTTTGGGGAAGGGAATTGAAAAGAATATTATTGTCAATGATGTGTATCGAGTGACAGGGGGTTATATATGATAGTCCCCGAGCGGTCGGTCGGTCGGTGAGGCGGCATCTAGTTCCCCAGCGAGGAAGCGAATTTCTGAAACATTTACTGTCGAAAGCTCCTCCATTCACATGTCGGGGGGGAAAAGCAGACACGACAATACGCGAGAGAAAACAGATAAAACAACGTCTGACCCCGAGCACTCGAAGTTGCTCGACCTGAATCAACAAAAGGTTGATGTGAGCTGCTCCGGCAGTGATGAAGGACTCGATACCATCGTGATTCCCGTAACTGATGAATATATCAACATATATTGACCTCTTCTCGAGATGAATTCCTCATGAATCAAATAGCCTTGTCTGCCTGCCTGGGGTAGTAGATGAGAGCTACTGCCTATTGGTGGACCCAAGGGGCTCCCGTGGGGAGAAAGGGCAGGTCGCAATTGTTTGTGCATACGCTCCTAGTTTGTCTCTTCAAGCTGCACTGTATTCTAACTGTTCTCTGTAATTGTATATGCAAATAATGCATTGTACTCTCTCTCTTTGTGTATGTGCACAGGCTGCGCTGGTCTCTTTGTTTATGTAGTTGTTACGATGTAACGGTGTACTCTCTCTGTTTTTCGGTACGTGCTTCAGTGTACACTGTGCACCTGTTGCCGTGTACTGTGTTTGTACACATGTTTGCACGATCATGTTAGAGAGTGTGAGTTTGTCTGTGGGTTTTCCTCTCGTATCTGCTATATATATATATATATATATATATATATATATATATATATATATATATATATATATATATATATATATATATAATATATTTGCCTGCACGCCTGTGTAAAATCTTTGTTTAGTGTTTACTCAAGTTTGTGACGCTGCAATATTTACGGGTAAACACCTGTCGCAGAAACCACATGACCATCCATTTTCTCAATTAAATACCTGCACACACACACACACACACACACACTTCCCCAACATCAACACGCCGACCTAACCCCTTATCCTCTATCCCCCTCCCCCTCCCAACCCTCCCTAGCTCATTCTATCCCTCACTAATCAGCTCCACGACAATCACGACGCTGCTCACCTCTCCACTGACCTCAGCTGTACCTTGGGGTCAGCAAGTCTCCCACAGACCTTGGTGACCCCAGCAGCGCCACCAGCAGCAGCAGGAGGTCGCAGACGGCATCGGTGTCAGACACAGCAGGAGAGATGGGGTCAAACTTCTCTTCTGAAGCTTGACGTGAGGAGAGGAGATTCTTTTCCTTCCGACGTGGTCACGAGTTAATTTTTAACAAATCGATTCCACTACTCTCGGCTAGGTTGCTCTTACATCATGTCTGTCGGGAAGCGACTTGTACAGATGAAAAACAATTGATAAATGTTATCTAGTTTCATGCTGAACAAACAAACATTATTTGTTGTGGAGCAGTCATTATTTGCTTATCGGTAATCAGAAATTTAAATATTCCATATCATGGAAAATTTCTGGTTTTCTATCCCTTCTAAAGCAATCTCTTGTGAAGCTCAGAATAGCTCAGTAGATTGAAAATCCTCAGAATCCCTATGTGTAACAGGTAATATGCAATTAACATTAACATCCACATTAAAATTTTTTTTATCAAAGTATTGAGTTTCCATCAAAATAATATTGTATTGGTCTATTAGTGACCCTCCCGGGCGGTGAAGAGCATGTGTAGATGGCGCGCAAGAAAGCACGTTCAAGTAATCAGTAAACAAAGCTACTGGGACCCTCCCCCCCCCTTTCCACAGTAAATTACTAGCAAACAACATGCAACATCATTTTTCTCCTGACCTCTCCACGGCGCGGCGTATCCACACTGCCATCTTCCAGGACATCAAATTTTATTTCATTACAGAGTGTTTTTTGTTATGGTCGTTAGGTTGTGTATGATGTTCACAGAGGCGTCCGTCTCTTGTGAGGTTGTGAGGCAGGTGCCGTGAGGATTATGAGACATATGGAGCGAGTGAGTCGGGTTTTAGTTCCTCTCTTGTGAGGTTGTGAGGCGGGTTCCTTGAGGATTAAGAGACATATGGAGCGAGTGAGTCGGGTTTTAGTTCCTCTCTTGTGAGGTTGTGAGGCGCGTTCCTTGAGGATTATGAGACATATGGAGCGAGTGAGTCGGGTTTTAGTTCCTCTCTTGTGAGGTTGTGAGGCGGGTTCCTTGAGGATTAAGAGACATATGGAGCGAGTGAGTCGGGTTTTAGTTCCTCTCTTGTGAGGTTGTGAGGCGGGTTCCTTGAGGATTAAGAGACATATGGAGCGAGTGAGTCGGGTTTTAGTTCCTCTCTTGTGAGGTTGTGAGGCGGGTTCCTTGAGGATTAAGAGACATATGGATCGAGTGAGTCGGGTTTTAGTTCGTCTCTTGTGAGGTTGTGAGGCGGGTTCCTTGAGGATTATGAGACATATGGATCGAGTGAGTCGGGTTTTAGTTCGTCTCTTGTGAGGTTGTGAGGCAGGTGCCGTGAGGATTATGAGACATATTGAGCGAGCGTGTCGGGTTTTAGTTCGTCTCTTGTGAGGTTGTGAGGCAGGTGCCGTGAGGATTATGAGACATATTGAGCGAGCGTGTCGGGTTTTCTCACTGTTGATATCACTTGAAACCGATGCTGTCAAGGCCATCACAGTGAGAAATGTTTCCTTGTGAATGCACGTATGTTAAAGTCTCTGAGACATATGAAGAAATACCGTAGGGTTCTTTACCCCAGAGTGGCTGTTTTGCCGAGCTTTCTCCTTTGATCTTAACATCTTAAACTTCTGAAGAATGAATATTTCACTTCAGAGAAGACGTTCAAAAGCTGGACCAAATGCTATTTGTTGTCTTTCAGTTCTTGAATATGTAGCCTGAAGGTTTTACATACATTAACACTAAAACAACACGTAAACCATAAAACGAAATCGCGTCGTACATAAAGGAAGATCCATCCTCCCCCAGCCTACATCATTTTAATTTTGCCAAGACCAAACATTACGTTTGCGCCTGCCGCTACTAGCCAATCTATATGCAAACTGACCCATGCTAGCTGTGCTGCTGCCAGGGAGAGGAACACTTCCAGTAAGGCGTTTGGCTGAAGAAACTTGGGAGATAAACTTAAGGATACGTATGATAATTTAGGGAAAAAGTCTTAAGGTGTACTTTATCGCAAGGAATGTCTTCAGTTTCATGCATAATTTTTAAGTCCTTTAATATCTTGTAAGTGATTCCATACTTCTAGCTTTAACTGAGGAGTGAGGAGTCTGGGCAATGTTGTTCGTTTAAGCTGTTATCAATGGTCGCAATGGATACACATCCATTTGTGCCAGGGAAAACCTGTCTTGACGTCCGTCATCGCTGGAATCCCCCACAATTATAGCATTGTTAGGACACCTCTGCTAACCTATGATTCTCTCTTCTCCTTCAGGCGTTCCGTGAGCAACGTATCGATGGGTCTGCGCTGCCGCTACTGACGGAGGAGCACCTAACGTCCAGCATCAACATGAAACTTGGCCCCGCCCTTAAACTCCGTTCCGTCCTAGCACGCCGCCTGGGCGCCTGTAACGTGTGCCTTCATTGCGATCACTGCCACACGCAGACGCAGGAGCGGCGGCCCAGCTCTGTCGCTTCAGGGCAATAGGGTTGGACTTCGGGTTTGCTTGGATTGATTCACATCCACAGTAAAGCCCCCCGGACATACTAACATGTCCTCAGTGTACCAAACGTGAATGTTTTATGAATTCCGGTGGTGTTTTCAACAGTTTATGGAGGAGAGAACTCGTGCTGCCTTGGCACGACTTGGGCAGTGGTAATGTTATAATGACCTCAGGGACTTCAAAGCCCACGCCCAAAAGGATCCTCCCTGGGTACTCCTACGAAGTGCTGCGTGTCGCAACTTGAAAGTGACAGTTTGCTATAGAGGCGGGCAAGTTAAAACACACCGGAGTGGCCATTCTATCGACTGCATTTGCTGCACCGTGCGCCTCTGAAGCCGCTTCCCGACGGAGGCTACACAATTAGTGGACGGGAGGTTAATCTTGCTGTAGGTGCATTCCGCGGAAATGCTATTAGCTCGCGGCTGCCTACAAAACAGGACAGTAACGAGGTAGCCACGATCTTGCATTCTTATATCAAGTGAAAGAACATTCCATCCACAGATAAGAGGCAAAGGGACCTAGAAGACTAAATCATAGTTAAGTGCAGTCCATTAATGGACATCTGAAGGTGCTCTTAATTCCCGTATATGTTTAATGACCGACAGACAAACTGTAGTTGCTGATGTTTAGTCGACAAGTGAGACGAACCGTAGGGGTTCCGCATTGTAACGAGAGGCATGCGCTTAATAGGACCAGATTCCGAAACGTAGCTCAGGGGTTTCACGAGGAATTCTTTGTCAGTTGATAGAGAAGGAAGTGTTTGTTGTAATTTGGATTTGTGGAATTAGAAAGAGGCTCTTTTTTGTGAATAACTTTGTGTTAGTTGTTATTTTAATACCTTGTTTGCCAAGTTACGTTTCAGAATTTGGCGCTGCTTAGTGCTTCCTGGCCCTTGAAATTTATTTTCAGGGCCTTCAAAAGACAAAACCCGCTCAAGATGTTCAAGTCATAGTTTTGGAATCTGTTATTTTATTTTATTTTATTTTTTTTGTCTCAGATTGACCCTTTTGTTTTTTGTTGTACAATCGTTCACACAAAATGTACATTAAAAGGAATACCTCAACAGGTTAGTTATTTTTTGTTGTTAACATGCAATGCAACTCATATTTTTTTAGACTCTGCAAAAAAGCTAAAGCTAACATGAATGACACGTGCTGTAGAGTATAGCTTCGAACCATTGGTAGCTTTGCCAGGGTGAACTAGATGGTTGAATCTCCCTGTGGCTCTCGCTGACAGGTTAACCATCTTCTCCCCCTGGCAAATCAGACCTGTGTTTACCCAAAGATTACACGTAAGTCCAACTTTTAGTCATTTTGATGGTAGGGGCATAGAGATGATCCAGTATTTATTTGTGTATGATTTTGTGCAACCTAAAAATCAGTGTAATTAAAGGGTTGTCTGTATATAGTTTTTTTTTGTTAATGTTTGTTGAAGTAATTCTTCTTCTGAATTAGAAGAGGGATATTTGAGTCACTTTCTTGTATTTCTTGCTGCGTATCATACCAGCCAGACTTTTTTTTTTGGGGGGGGGAAGGGGCCATTTTTATATATGTACTCACTCGCCTTCGAGCCGTCACTAACAAGGCCATTCACGGACGATAGTTGAGTCTCCTGTTCGAATCGCTTTTTTTTATAATCTAAAATTTATGTTAGACTCCAAAGATTAATAGGTTTCTTGAACTCAGGAATGATTTTAATTGGTAAAAAGGAGAAGTTTGTCTATCTAAGAAGTTTGTCTATTCATCCAATCAGAACGCTTCTTTTGAATTTTATTTTCCTGAAACGTTTCAATTTCTCTCACTATCGTCCGGCTCTGTGGTTTCTTACGCTTCATCATCACTCCATCATTTTCCATTATCAGTCACCTTCACCTTCACTACATTTTAAGGCCGCTGTCATCCTCCACTGTGTTTAGAGGTTTGTTGTATACATCTCTGTACATAGACCAAAAATCGTGAATTTAAATTTTGTAATAACTGGCGTTGTATATTCTATTTTAATACAAGAGAACCCGGTGTATTGTCGTGGTGCAGTGAGGAGACCTCGTGGCTCTCTGAAACGGTTGTATTATATGTTTGTAAAGGATTAGAGAAACTGAACTGAATGCTTTTGAAGGTGTAGAGAGGCTGAACTAGATGCTTACAAAGAATTATAGAAGTAAGACTGAATCCTTCTGAGGATTAAGGACGCTATAATTAACGCTTAAGGAGAAATAGAGTAGTTGGATTGGATACTTTTTTTTTTAACAGAATAAGAGAAGATGGGTCGAATGCTTTGAAAAGACGTATAGTTGGATTGAATGCTTTAAAAGAAAGTAGAGAAGTTGGACTGAGTGCTTGCAAGAAAGCAGGCAAGGAGCAGCCAGAGGGATTCCTTGCTTGACAAGCTCGACGAGGCCACAGGGGTCACAGGCAGGGTCGGGTGGAAGCAATAAATATATTTAATAAATGTGTAGTTTTTGATTTCTTGAAAACTACGAAAGGGAAAATTTGTTATATTTTGTTGTCTATAATATTAATATCTATTGGGATGGCTTGTACTACACCACACACCATAATGTAAATAACATAACACCAAAATAAAGACTGGAATGCTATGTGTGTATTTTTCTTGTATTTTCACTGTATCCAATTGTTCATTATGTTGATGCTTGACACAGATTGATTCCTATCAAAAAAATATTATATAGGATTAGATGTATTGAAAAATTGTTTGAATACAAAAATTTTATTTGGAGAATTGTTAATACAGGTCAAACTGAAGCTGAGATGAAGACTGATATTTATAATATATAGAAACAACGAAGAATTGCAGGTCGTCGTTCAATTCCCGACGGTCCAAGTGGATGGCCACCAATTCCTTCCCCATTGTCCGATTCCAAACCCTTATCCTGACCATTCCAGGTGCTAAATATTCGTAATGGCTTGGTACTGCCTTCTCATAGTTCCCCATCCTCTTCCAGGAACAGGAGGAAGGGGACTGTTCTCTACTTTACTAGGTCAGAGCAGTATCAACGTTCGAAGTACCTAAAATTTTGCCATTTGCTGTGGCAACAGGCTAGCAACCAAAATATTATTATTGAAATGGTTCAAACATTTCGTAAATAAATATCAAATAATATAGTGTTGTGTCTAATTAAATTGCATGCATGCTTACACAGCTACATAAAAACTGTACACAAAGACTGTAGTTTTAGCTTTCAGCAATCAAGATACTAATAAATAGTGAAACACAAATAGAATACCTATTCATTTTAGAGTGTGTGTGTGTGTGTGTGAAAAGTCAAGAATCACGTATGCAAAGAAAACCCTCTTCTGTCTCCAGCCGAGAATGGGAATCCCCAAACTTTTCAACCACTAAAGATGCCGGAAAAAAAGGGCAGCTGTGTTGACTTTGCCCAAAAATATTAAATCCATGACACGCGGCTGAATCCAGAACTCAAGTCCCGTCAGTCACCCGGTGTTTGTCCAACAAGTTTGAAAGGGCTAGATTTACAAATTTAGGGATACATGACTGGTACAAGGCTCAAGTGTGCTCTCTTAACAATAGCAGGATTACTGGAGATTTCCTTCACTCAAACTCCCCGTCCTCTGCCATACCTCACCACCAGATTGGCGGCTATGAGAACTGCTCCTCCCAAAAAATGAGCATTAGCATTCAGAGGGCGAATTTTAGTCCGTCTCAGCTCTCAATAGACTGAATACACCATGACACTGTGGAAAAAAAATATCATGCTGGTATATCTCTCTCTTGCAGAGCCATATTAGAACGACTGGAAGGCTTAGGATCTCTGGGAATCTTTAGATTTAATTAAATAGTGTTAAATATAATCACAATAATATGCTTAAGAAAATTATATACATGTAACTGACAGAAAAAAAGGCGAAAACTATGGAATTAAATGTAATAAAAAATACGTATAGTTGAGGTGTTAGTTTTTAAACGTAATGACATCTATTATTTTGGACTAGTATTTAACTGACATGCTCAGGAACCTGTACACCAGTTGATTGACTGTTGAGAGGCGGGACCAAAGAGCCAGAGTTCAGCCCCCGCAAGCACAAATAGATGAGTACATTCGACTTAAGAATGGTCCAGGACGGACCGAAACGTCGTCGTCCCTTCACTTTCTAGTGTGTGTGGTTTGGTCAACATAGATGAGTACAAATAGGTGAGTACACACACTAACACACACACACACACACACACACATACACGCACAAGCACACACGAGCACACACATACATACGAAAACACATGAATGCAATCACAGAAGCAAACCATGGCGGATATAATAACAACGTTATAGATATTAAAGGGAAATTGACAAGGCAGACAAAGCCTTCATGTTTCAAATGAGATACGTCAGGCCCAGAGGACACACGTGGATGCTGAAAACACAGATGAACCAGATGACACACGTGGATGCTGGAAACACAGATGAACCAGAGGACACACGTGGATGCTGGAAACACAGATGAACCAGATGACACACGTGGATGCTGGAAACATAGATGAACCAGATGACACACGTGGATGCAGGAAACACAGATGAACCAGATGACACACGTGGATGCTGAAAACACAGATGAACCAGATGACACACGTGGATGCTGAAAACACAGATGAACCAGATGACACACGTGGATGCTGGAAACATAGATGAACCAGATGACACACGTGGATGCTGGAAACACAGATGAACCAGAGTGATGTTCATGAAAAACCAACTTCTCGGGATACAAAAGAAGATCGATGAAGCGAGTTCAATAAAAATCTTCAGCAAGAAATACGACGAGAAAATTGAGGCATGAAAGTCCTTCAAAAAACCTACCAGGAGATAGAAAGGCGGGGCTAGGAAGCTGTTACTCTACTCTGTTAACACATCTAGGTTAGTACATATAGGTAAGCACAGTGGAAAAACATACACAGTTTCAAATGTAAATACGATAGAGCCCAATAGGCTCAGGAACCTGCTCATCAGTTGATTGACAGTTGAGAGGCGGGACCAAAGAGCCAGAGCTCAACCCCCGCAAGCACAACTAGGTAAGCACAACTAGGTAAGTACAAGTTTTCAGTAACAAACACAAATACTTGTTATAGCATGAACACACAACAAAAAATATATAAATGTCGTTTTGAATTGGGTAATACTAGCATTTTTATCTACATCTTGTATAAGGAATTTCTCCTTGAAATCAAGGAATGTATTCAAAATTCACTGAAACGCCACATTACTTTTAATGCTACGAATTTTCAAACATAATCGGCTAAAAATCTGAGTCTGAGTAAGAGAACACAAAATAAAATATTAAAAAAAAATGTGTGACAACAAATATAATCAGTGTAGAAAAGAAAATCAACACAGGTTAAGCAATACACTAACGTCCTAACTTTTCCCCCTGTTGCATGCCACAGATGAAAAACCGTGTTTTTCAAGCACTTTCAGAACCAGGAAAAAAACCTGAATTTTACGGCAGGCGCTAACTGCACTATTTCCATTAGGTGACTGCAAACAAGGCCAATATTTATTTTCTCTAAATCCCACTCCACCCTGGTATTTTCTCCCACAATATGGGAAGAACGCAATGTTTGTTTACGCTTTGCTAGGGAAACAAGCGCTTCAGTACAAAACGCTAAGTGATGCGATTCCTAACGCAAGTTGAAACCACTTCAACATAAATAAATTGATTCCCTGATGCTGAATGATTTTATACCGCGGTTATATCAATCTTGCTTATATATTGTTTGACTTTTTCTTCTAAAACGAACTTATAATAAAATATTATTAGAATAAGTTGCCAAATCTGTTGGTCGTTGTTGTTGTCGATTTAGGGGCGACGACCAATGAGGGAAGTCTATTAGTAGACGCGTTATTTACATCACTTGGCAACGTTACATTGGTGGTTCCGGGATTGCTGTCAGTCATTCGATCGTGTGCACGGGTTAGCGTCGCTCAAACATCATCAAAACACCTTTGAATGTGTGCGTTCTGTGATCAGTTTTAATGTGAAATAATTTATAGAGATAATTTCTGATTAATCAGAATAGCTACTCGTTAAGCATTTTTTGGAACGGAAAAAAATGCTTTCCGTTGTCTGCTCATTAGACAACGGGACATCTGGTGAGCACGTTTTTGAAAAAGATAGCAGAGCCAAACATTGACCCAGCTAAATACATTGTTTCATAGTCCAATTTGTGTTAAGATGAGAGGGATTGCTTAGCACATATGGGATGATGAAAGTAATAATACCTTACGAGTTGCATTATGTTACAACAGCTTGTAACTTAATTGCACAGTAGGAACATTTTCGTTTTTATTTGTCAATATCCCAACTATTTGTTAAATACTGATGAGATCAGAGAGTCCCAATGAGTAAAGGGTTTAAGGGTACTCCCATGAGTGATACTTAAAGGGTTCGTGCGATGTCGTCTGGGTACCACTCGAGTGATCCTACTGTGGCACATGTACGAGTGATGGTTACTGTGCATTACTATTAATCATTGTGTAAGGATACCCAACCGAATAATGGTCTCAGGGTAGCCCTACCTATGATATTAGGGAATTCCAACGAGTGATGGTTATCTTGAGATGATTTCGGGGCTTTTTAGTGTCCCCGCAACCCGGTCCTCGACCAGGCCTCCGCCCCCAGGAAGCAGCCCGTTACAGCTAACACCCAGGTACCTATTTTACTGCTAGGTAACAGGGGCATAGGGTGAAAGAAACTCTGCCCATTGTTTCTCGCCGGCGCCTGGGATTGAACCCAGGACCACAGAATCACAAGTACAGCGTGCTGTCCGCTCGGCCGACCGGCTCCCCGGTGATGGCTACAGAATACTCCTACGAATGATGAATTCATGACACCCCTACGAATGTTCGTATGAAAATATTCATATTCGCCTTCGAAAGAAAAATCGTTTTTCACTCTCGCGGAACATATATTATTTGTGATTACATAGATTAGTTAGGATTATTGACGTCGAAGACGTACCTTTTGTTAATTTGTAACGTAAATAGAGTCATTTTCTCTGTAGAAATTCAGACATATTAACCCACGTTAATCAAATGCATCGTTGTTAATAAAGTTGAGGCGGTGAAAATATATTTATATGAAATACAGTATACGAGTGACTCACCAGATCAGCTGGGATTTTTTTCTCTCTCTAAAGAAATGTGAAAAAAATTAGAAAAATATCTGAATGAAGAACTATTTGTGATCACCGACAGTGACGGATGGACCAAGCCAGCCAACAGCGCTAAGGTAAGAACGATGTGGGTTATTGTTATAAATAAGACTTTACCACAATGTTGTAGGGATCATTTTATTCCGTTGAGGTTTGTTTGGTGGGATACGAAAGGCTCATGTTGAAATGGTCCACAGAAAGACCATACAAGAATGACTACTTTTTTATGCAGAAAAACTTCTCGGCTTATTGTATGGTTCGTGATGCTATGTATGCCATACACGGTGTATATATTAAGTCAGGTCTTTATACATGGACCACTGTGGCAGTTTATGGAGCGCAAGATACTGGTCTGTGACAGCGATGATGTGAGGGAAGAAAAGTCTTTGTGGGAAGAAGAAAATTACACGT